AACTAATATTCTTTGGATTCCTGTGAAATGTATGTCTCCAATTTTTTTCTTTTTGATTTTAAAAACTTTCTCAATATGTTAGTCTAAATAAACTAATGATATATTTTAAGTATATATGTTTTACATCATTTACTTTTTTATCCAGAATTACCAAATTTTAAGAAACACTGTCTTTTGTTGGTGAACATGTTCTATTGGTTGCAGTACAAATTGTATACATAGCTTGTATTACTCTAAAGCATGTCTGTGACCAGTATATTGAATCTTTTTCTCATGTTTTCAGATTGCTATTGGAGAGACAATTCCTTCCCAACAGTCTTTTGATTCTTTGCTGCGTTACATCTATTATGGGGATGTTGACATGCCTCCTGAGGACTCGTTGTACCTCTTCTCTGCCCCCTATTTTTATGGCTTTACAAACAACAGACTTCAGGTAAATTACAGAATATGACAAAGATGACCATTTTAGATTTACTGTTTATTTTGGATATATGTACATTCCCAATTACAACAACTTTGAAAAGTATTCCTTCTCTCAGCGTTGTTTTATCATTAAACTTCAATTGTACAAGATTTTGGATTAAGTATTGTTATTTACTGTCAACAGCTAGATTATGCAAATTAATATCTTTTTCAGGCATTTTGCAAGCAGAATCTGGAGATGAATGTTACCTTTGAAAATGTAATACAGATTCTAGAAGCTGCAGATAGGATTCAAGCTATTGATATGAAGAAATATGCTTTGAATCTCATTGTTCATCATTTCCCAAAGGTATGTACCTCCAGTAAAAATCTGTTTATATACATCCTGTAAACATGGGAGCATACTTCTATATACATAAAGCCAGGTAATGTGTCAGTATTTTTGTGTCATGTGACTTCTTTTAGTCATTGTGGCAGTGCTGATTGGCTATATGATAAGCATAGTTGATGGAGTTATTATTCTATGCACTGAAGTTTGTTTTCTATCACTAAAATGGTTTGCTGTGAGTATGAGACCCTGAAGGAGATAGATCTTTAAAAAACTACAAATTCTTGTGAAAGATGCAGATACTTTGGAAAGTTTACTATTACTACTTTTATTTTTACCATCTTTTTTTATATAATTTTTCTTTTCTTTTCAGGTCGCACAGCTGCCAAAGATGAAATGCCTGAGCCGTGATCTCCTGCTTGACATCCTCGAGGCTTTGGCTGAAGACATGTCTGACTCAAAGCTGTGCCACGACATGTCCTCAATAAGTTTAAGCACTTCGGACTCGGGATGAACCCTCCAAGAGTGTTTAGATGAGGAGTATTTAGTGGAAGAGGTCACTCAGCCAGACCAGTATGAACTCGAAGCAGACAGGAACATCTTACGCAAACTGAATGATCATGTCTTTAGGGAGAGATGTAGTGTCCTACTAAGATGCGGCTACATGTGCTTTGATTATGCGTCTTGAACCTAGAAATGGAGAACATTCAGTCAGTATTATGATCTGTCAAATGCTTTTGGGTATCCATTGTACCTGAACAGTTAATATTACTCAGTTTTGGACTTTTCTGTGATTCGAAAATGGGCACAAGGATCTTTAAGAAAGTAGCATTTACGTAATAATATATTTTGCTACACATTCTTCCCATTAAGTGGAATGAAAGCAGCTTTACTGGTGCTTAAATTTTGCCAGGAAATATATTCTCATTATTTCTGACAAGTGATAGTACATAGAATATTAGATATTATTAAACTGTTAAAAGTATTAGATATAATTTTCTACCCCCATCCCCTCAATGAGGGAAAAAAAGGAAGTCAAAGAAGCCATGACAATTTGGCATTTCTCTGTTTTATATTAACACATTGCTGGTAATGTATTGCAAAAGGAAATGTAACAGCTCATCAACCTTTTGGATTTCATGTGTAAAAGATTTATGTAACATACAATAAAAAAAATATTTTGGTAAATATCATACAGAGTAACCGCTAAATAAATTTTGAATATTGGAAGAATTAAGAAATGAATTAGTTTGAGATGTGTACTATATAATAGATATCTTCCATTCTCTGTTCATTAGCACAGTTCACTCCTTTGTATCAGACAACAGTAGAAGAAATGTGAATGTGTTAGAATTTTTCCAGTTGAAGTGGTTAATTAGTCAAGATGTATTATGATACTAGGCATAATCAAATGTCATTTCATAAATGTCTGCATGGAGGTTTGAAATAACATGATTAGAGAAAGTCCTAGTCTGTATCTCATATATCTACATTATCTTACTTGCTCTCTTTATTTCTTTGTCATCTGTACTCTTTTTCCCTCTCAATCTTTCCCCCACCCTCTTTCTATCTATCTATCCTCCCTCCCTCGCCCTCATGCTCCCTCTCACTCTCTCACTCTCAGTCCCCCCCCCCCTCTCCTCTCTCTCTCTCTCTCTCTCTCTCTCTCTCTCTCTCTCTCTCTCTCTCTCTCTCTCTCTCTCTCTCTTCTCTCTCTCTCTCTCCTCTCTCTCTCTCTCTCTCTCTCTCTTCTCTCTCTCTTCTCTCGTGTTCACTTGGCATATAGGTGTCTTTTCTTAGTAAGTATAAGACCAGACAACCTTTAGTATTTCATTATGTCCATAGAGGTACTTGTATGTATCTACTGAAATTCATAATATAATATGAAATTAACATCTTAATTACATTCACATACACATACAAACACATGCATGCACACACGCACACACACATGCACATATACACACCACATGTGCGCGCACACACGCACACCACACACACGCACACGTACATGCACACGCGCACATGTACACACCACGCCACACACACGCACACACACACACACACACACACACACACACACACACACACACACACACACACACACACACACACACACACACAGCCAACTGAAAATTCAAAATATACTGGAGATGGTTAGGTGATACACAAATGATAGTGTTGCTTTCACAGTACCTGTACATACTACCTCTTTGTTAGTACCACTAACAGTATTAGTTAACAATGTACAACAATGAATCAAGATGGCAAAGGTAACATCTAGTGACCAGTACTTCTGACCTTTACCCTGATTATTGGTACATGCAGGTTAGTCTTCTGTTAATTTGTGTTTTAGTTGTTTCCTTTCGTGCATTTACCATGCTTGTATCACCATCGTTGTTGAAACATATGCTATAGGTACTCAATAGTGGTTAGGTTGTTATATAGGGGCAGAAAGGGTAGGGAGGATGGACTCAAAAGGTTGGACCGGTTTTCCTTCTTCTCCTCTTTCTTTCTCTTTTCTTTTTTTCTTTCTCCCTCTTTAAACCCAGAGTAAAATGAGACATATATCAAGTATATCAAATAGTGATTTAGGTAACATAGCACAGTGACAGCTAGTAAGTCCAAACAGAACTGTATTATATGCACACACACACACACACACACACAACACACACACACACACAACACACACACCACACACACACACACACACACACACACACACACCACACACACACACACACACACACACACACACACACAACACACACACACACACACACACACACACACACACACACACACACACACACACATCTTCATATACATATGTGTGGATGTGGGTAAGGCTGAATGAATACACGTCTGGGGAATAGATGATCTGTAGATTGTGGATTTTATTAAATTCTGGTTCACAAGTTTATCCATTACATGAAAACATGTCTTTTGTTTTCTTATTATGTACATTTAGTTTTTGATGTACTGTTGTATTGTTGAAAGTCCTTAAAGCATTCTCCAAAGTATTGTGGCTGTGCACTTGAAAATATATTTGCTGTAATCTCTGTAAAAGGTATGTGTTTATATACCATTGGGGTACTACTAAAACCGAGGAAAATCTTTCAGTTCTCTCTCTCTTTCTCAATTCCATTTGGGGGGGGGGCATGAATGAGTAGCTTTGTTAGCCCTGAATGGCATCAGGGAGCCATAAGCATGGTGTTCCCATGGTCATCTTCGCTTTTTGCATCCTCTTTCTATATTACTACTCTTCAGTCCATATATTCCATCTCCCAACATTACTGCCTCACTCCACACCACTCTCTCTTAATAATGACCTCTGATTTAAGTTACGAGAAAACCACTGTATTATCTGGCAGGCCCAGAGGAAACTCAGTATCTATTTAACTTCTTTATTGGTAAGAAGAGACAAGTAGTTTTATAAAATCTCGATACGGTAGCGTCGTAGCGTTGTCAAGGTCAGCTGCTACGGTTGAAGTGAGGAAGGTATGCATAGGTCGAGGTCAAGACACAGACTGGCTGTCCCAGGTCATCCTGGGAGAGGTAGTGGCATGGGGTGTCAGGTATGAGAGACATATGGTGGTGGGAACATTGTGGGCAATGACCTCACTTTGCATCCCCATGCCACAGTTATCCCCCCACACAATGTTTCTGATGGAAACAAGCTGCTTCGAACCCCAAGACAATGCCTTGGAGGGAGTCAGGTGAGAAGTTAACAAGGATAACCTGGGATAGGTATTCTGCGTCTTGACCACAACCAGCATATACCTTCCTTACTTCACCCATTGCAGCTGACCTCAGTAACACTGCGACGCTACCATATCAAGATATTATCAAACTACCTATCTGTTCTTACCACTGAAGAAGCTAAACATATCCTGAGTTTTCCTCTGGACCTGCCAGATAATAAAGTGGTTCTCTCGTAACTTAAATCAGAGGCTATTATAGCTGGTGGCAGCGGTGGGATAACTGGTTTTCTCTGGAAATGTGGCATGGGGGGATGAGCCACATGGCAGTGTTCCCGCTGCTCTCATATTTTAATACTTGTGCTGGAACTGTTTCATCTCCCGGGCCTGATTTCAAGACTGTGAAAACGATTCGCTTGCCTGCCTTGTCAACTATGATGCAGTAATACTGCCAAGATCTCTCCTGGAATATGATCAAAATAAGCATCTGTTTCTTATGTTTCCTCTCTCTCTATCTCGCTCCCTCGCTCACGTCTCTCTCCCTC